AGGTGGCACCCTCTCTGTAGACACGCTGCCTTCTGTGGCCCCGAAAGACCAAAGGTCTTGAGGAATAAACCCCCATGGGAAGTGGGAGTCTAGGGCCACAAAGTCCCCATGGCAGCCATGGGCCCCCAAAACAGTGGGGGCACTGGAACTATGGTCATCCTGGACTGAGGTGTGCAGTGAGTACAAGACGCACATGGGATTTCAAAGAGCACACACACACAGCACCACAGTGAGATCCACACGTGGCTCCGTCACCAGTGGTACCTCAAACTACCTAACTCTACCTTTACAAATTATGGCACTTTTAGGGGTGACCCTGAATCTGTGGTCTAAGGAGGGCCTGGGTCCTTGCCCAAGTCTTCAAAGTTAGCCCACAGCAGGGCTGGCTCATCCTGCGGTCTGGCAGACATCCTCCTCGAGGACAGTGTACACCGAGGTCCACGCCAAACACACAGCCCCAGGAGAGAGCACAGGGCCACGGACTCCTCTCACCGGGGCACATTCTGGAGGGCCCAGCATCTGCAGCACAGGCTACCCAGGGAGCAGGCGCCGGGGGACAGTACCTCTGGGAACCCTGACTGTTCCACCTCCAGGAGGAGTCGCTGCGCTGCCGGTAGCACCATGCCAGCGAGTCGAACAACACTTCACCTGGGCTGCGAGGTGGCCGGCCCACAGAGGAACATCACTTGGTCACGGAGGAGGAGGCATCTGACACTCACTAGCCAGCAGCGACTCCCGGGACACATGCGGCCACGGGAAGTGAGTCCACTGGCGAGGAACATCCAGTGAGGTGCAGAGTGGGCTCCCTCCCCAGGAGCTGGGAAAGGCTGCTGATTGGAGAGTGATGACTATGGAATTGCGATTGGGGGAGAGGGCTGCAGCACCCCAGATGCCAGCTGTGAATGGGGAGAACTCAAGTCTGCACGCGGCCAGAAGCCACACCTAAGAAGCAGACAGTGGACCGGCTAGGGGAGAAGAGCATCTGGCAGTGGAGAAAAAGCTCGTCAGAAAGAAAAGTCACCAAAGACACAGAGCAGAGGCAAGCCAGTCAGTGAGGGGAGCACCTGCGGGCACAGGGGCTTTCTGGGGACAGCAGGGCCTCAGGGATGTGAGCTGTAGAAATGAGTCAGGTCCTCGGCAATACCCCTGAACAAGAAACACCAGGGAGTGGGCCAACAGGAGACCCTGCTGGTAGGAGGGGCAAGGGCAGCCTGAGAGGACAGAGAAGGCACAGAGAGGTCTCTGGTGCGCAACCCTGAGAAAGAGGAATAGTCTCCCCCAATGGGGAGACCACGCCACCTGCAAGGGGGAAGGAGGCACCAGAATGCAAGAGGACACGTGAGGAAGAAAAGTTCCCTGGGGTTCACAAGGGCCCCAGGACCCAGATTCCAATGCAGGAGGCCTACACATTCTAAGGGACCCCAGATGCCCTACAAGTGGGCAGCACCAATGTCAACGATGTCATTACACATTCTTAGCTTTGTAAAATGTCACCACTGGGGAAAATGGGTGAAGAAAACACAAGATCTCTGTTATTTCCTTTTTTAAAAAAGATTTATTTACTTATGCATTCAAGAACTGGGGTATAGGCCACAGTGGGGGGGGGGGTGAGAGTATTCCCCAGAGACAGAGTGGGGAGCAGAACAGCTGACTGACTGAAGTCCACTGCTGAGGAGGCAGCGGGGAGACAGGAGAGGTCTACTGCGCCCTGGGGGTCACTCCCTGACGGGGATCAACTCATGCCCCAGTGGCTGGCGATAACATGACAGCGTTGAGACTTAGCCCCTGCGCCACTAGAGGGACCCTATAATTCTCATAAAATAGTAAGTTTTAATTTTAAAAAAGGGGTGGAGCTCCCAGAGGGTGCCTGGGCTAGCAGACCTCCCTAGTGAACAGCCCAAGTTCCTACTCCCGTGGCCCCCACAGAACTGTGAGGAGCCACACAGAGTCTCCGTAACCAGGGCACGAATCTTACCAGCCAAGGCTGGCACACCACACTCTTCCTGCTGTTCTGTCCCCTTTTAAAGCATCTACTTCGTCACACCAAGTCAACAGGGATTCATGTGTCCTCCGCCTGTGGAAGCCAGGCAGTCCCTCACAGAGGGATCAGCGTCAGAAAATACCCTCTGAGTCAGAGGGATTGCTCACCCGCCCACCTCAACCGCCGCAGCACGAGGCCAGGACAACTGCTCAGTGGGCATTCATCAGAGAATCGTGGGCTCCCCGGGAGGAAGCAAGGTGGAGACAGTCACCCTGAGGCAGCTCCCCCACCTCATGCCTCAACAAGTCATGGAGGAAGGGGAGGAACCAAAAATACTAGTCCCTTCTGAAATGAGACCCGGTTCCCACAACACAGAGGGTCACCCTGCTCAGAACTGCCACCGTCAAGTGCAGGTGGGTATCCGGAAACTCCAAGTCATCATGGGAAGACTCGGCGTCTCCCCTCTGCACGTGTCAAAGCACAAACCCCCATCTCCCAGGCTGGACACTTCTGGCTGTAGAGCTGTGGCTGTTTGCACTTCCTCCCTGCACCTCTGGGGCAAAGCTGGCGGCCCCTCCCTCTTGGCCTCAGCTGGCCTCTCTCCTGCTGACGGTGGCCATAAGCCTCCTTCCTTCAGCTACAGGCTGTGCCTACTGTCCTCCACACCCTGGTCGGTGGGATACTAACTAGGTGCTCCCAGAATGAACAAAATGAACCAGTGAGTCGGCTCAGCCCTTCCACAGACGCATCACAGCAGAGATGTGACCACTTGCCATTAAGTTCTGAAGCGGCCCACTCTCTCACTGTGATCACCACAGAGTCACTGCAGAACACGAACTCATAAAGTGCTGCCCCCAGGTTTCCCAAGGGAAGGCAGAACTCTTTAGTGGGGCCAAGAATGGCTGTAACAGATGTCACTGCAGTTATCACCAAAGCCCGAGAACTGCACGGAGAGGGAGAGAGCCTAGCAGGCTGAGCCCCTGCCCAATGGCCGGGTGGAAGAACAAGCACACCAGGAAAGGGCCTGCTGACGCACAGCAGCTGGGTGGCAGCACAGCCCCCACTCATTGCCTGTCAGGCGCTGGCCACACCTCCCAAGAGCCAGGTCCTACTCGCTCCTGGCAAGACCTGGCTCTTCCCCAGATAAAAGATTCAGTCAGGCAACCACGTCCTTATGCATTTTCCTCTCAGTAGCAAAGAGAGGGCCGCAGCAACTTCCCCTGGGTAGAGGCAAAAGGAATTTCCTAGCTCTTCTAATATTCCCAAGATGCAGAAATGGCAAACATACAGACAGCAGAGGCGCCAGCAGTCCTTCTCTTCAGGACTTCCCAGGTGAAAACCTGAGTTCACATCAAAACCGGTTGCAGAGGTTTGAAGGGGCTTTCTTTGTAACCCTTCTCAACACTAGAAACACCCCACAAGTCTTATCAGATCTGGTGGCAGGCTGCGCAGCAAGCCAACGGTGGAATACAACACAGCAGCGCCCAGGAGTGACCGTCGGTACCCGCCGGGGCACGCAGGCAAGCTCTGCTGAGTATAGAGCAGCGCTGCAGAGCTGCCGCCTACCATAGTGCGACTTTCAGGGAAAGAGACAAGGTGGAGGGCCGTGGTGGCAGGCAGGCTGACCACGGGGCGCCCGCGGAACTGCGGAGGGCTGGCTGGCCGGCCTCGGTATCTAACTGCAAACTGCAATGGGCCTGTCAGAAACTCGTGTCCTGGGCACGAGAGTGAATTACACTGAAAGTCAACTAAAGGTAAAGAAACACCACGTTTTCTTAAATGCACTGGCCGGCTACTAGGTGGCATCCTGTAGGCTGTTTGGAGTTTGGAAGGTGACCCCCCACTTTTCAGTTTCTGAGGCCTGGGCTGTCTTCCCGCCCTGCCCACTGTTCAGGATGCCGGCCCGGACACACACCCTGAGCTGCCCAACCGGAAAAGCCAGAGCCAGGGCTCAACCTCGCCTTCAGCACAGGAAGAGCAAAAATAGAAAGCTCCTGAGCCTATGGGGCTGGAAGCAGCTAACCCCGCTGACCGTTGACAATCGGGGCCAGCAGCCAACACCGGCTCTCGGGCTGTCCCAGCGTCCCGAACCCGCCCCCGACCGCGACGTTTCCAAAAACTGACACGCTGAGCGCGCTCGAGGGGCGGGGCGCGCGGGCTTCCCCACCGGTCCCCTCCGCAAACCGTGGGCGCGAAAGGGCGCCCCATCTCCCGGCACCTGCTGCGTTCTCCACGCCGGCCCGAGCGCGGGCCCAGCGTCACGGCCACCCACAGCACACCACGCCACCACCCCGCGGACGAGAGGCCGTGGCGCCGGCCCCGGCGCCCAAGCATCCCCGGATCGCCAGGGCGCGCCTTTGTAAATTTCCGCCCAGCCTGTCATTTTCCAAGGGTCACTCAGGACTGGGAGGCAGAATCCATTACGTCCAAATGTCCTGCCAGCCCACCCACTTAAACTGGAGGGCAGAATGCCTGGCCGCCCAGGGTTGGGCCAGCTCACCCGCTCAAGTTTAAGGGAAAGAATTCTTCACTTCCAAAAGTACTGTCGGTCCTGCCGCTCAAAATCGCCGGCCCGCGAGGGCTGCTTCTTTAAAAACCGGGCGGGAGGAACGCGCGCCCTGAAAAACCCGAGACCTGAGCACACTGACAGTGACAAGAGTCAGAAGAGACACAAACCCTGCCTGTCACACGCGCGCTGCGGCGGGGAGGCCGGCCGGGGTGTCGGCCCGGGCTGCCCGGTCCCCGGCCCAACGAGGGCAACGGCAGCGCGGCGAGCGCAGCCCCGGCAACCAGGGCGTCCCGGGCCGCGCCTGTGCCCCAGGGCGGGCGGCCAGCCGCCCACCTTCCACACGAGCTGGGGGGCGCCCGGGAACTGCCGCGGGGCCCCTGGGTGGGGCGGAGGGCAGGGGGTCCCCAAGAGGGATTCACATTCCAGGCGCCCCGTTTCTCGGGTGGGACCCGCGTTCATCCCGGGGGCGGCGGCCGGGGGCGAGAGACGGAGGGACGGGGAGCTACTCACATAGACCGGCAGCGGCCACGGGTAGACGGCGGGTTCTGCCCCCACGGGCGACTTGAGCCTCAGCTCCAGCTTCTCCCCCATGTCGGCGCGCGCG